GGCTAAACACAGCAGTTGTTATCGACGTTTCGTAGGAAATACAAGGATGTCGCTTTCTGCCGCCGCCGGGCTTCTTCGGGGGACCCTGCTGGTTGGGCTGCTACTGGTTGTCCTCTGTGGGGGTTAAGTTGGACTTGGCGGCGCTTTGGGCCGGGCGGGGTGGCTTCGTTGGGGTCACGGTCGGAGTGGTCGAAGTGACGGTGTTGGCCTTTTTCCTGTTGCGCTTTTCGGCGGAGGTGTTGGCCGTTACTCGGAAATGCCATCTTATCCAAATGTATTGTACCGAAAACTTTTCCTGTGTACACCCACGCCGACCCCAATCTCTGCAACCCACCGGACACCGGTACCAGCACCGCGTAGATACAGTATATGCGTAAGCTACATCGATCGAAAGAGAAACACGATCCTCCGCGCCGCCCAGACTAACATGGCTGCAGGTAGAACGGCGTCCAGGTCGTCCCATGAGAATCGTTTGTCGGATTTTCGTATGATCTGCTTACGCATGATTTGCCTGATCCGCAACAGACAGATCAGCGACGTATTCGTAAGGATAGATCAGGACAGATCAAGTACTCGTAAGCTTACGAGAACTTCGCTGATCTGTCTGTTGCGGATCAAGCAAATCATGCGTAAACAGATCATACGAAAATCCGACAAACGATTCTAATGGGACAACCTGGACGCCGTTCTACCTGCAGCCATGTTAGTCTGGGAGGCGCGGAGGGTCGTGTTTCTCTTTCGATCGAAGCAGCTTACGAAAATAAAGCATCTTCGCGGTGTAACAGTCGCAAGCGTGTGACTTGACGAGGAAGAAGATCGCTGTCGGTTGCTTTGCTGGTGGCGCAGGTGCCCGTACCGGCGTCCGGTGGCTTGCAGAGATCGGGATCGGCGTAGGTGTAGGGAAGAAAGGTTTTTGGTTAAACCACCTTCGGTACGATGACATTCCCGAGAAAAGGCTGCCTCCGACGTGCCCTCCTTGAGATTACTCTTGCTGGTTGCTTCATAGCACTTCGTTTTGGCGGCGTCATTGGCGCGACGTATACGTACCACTCGTTCGGCGCGGATACCGGAAAGCGGCTGACTTTGTTGCCGAATTTTCGTCGAAGTGGACATAGGTGGACGCGTCGTCGCGCACCCGGGGGGCTCAAGCGAACGTGTGTCCGGAACTAACTGCATGATGCTGACAAAAACGGTTGCCTCGTGATATTTGTTCTACCATGATGAGAAGTGCTGCCACTGTGTTCTGGGGTCGTCCGCTGGGCGTGGCGATCTTCTTTGGGAGACATGGATGCGGTGGGTGATTCGAATGATGAGAACGCAGAACCGTGGGTCGGGTTTGCGGCGTTTATGGTGTTGCGGTTGTGGGTAGCTCTGGAACGAAGCGTAACGTGCAAGTTGATGCAACTCAAGCCATTCCCCCCCCAAAAAAAAAACAGAAAAAATTGTGCCGTTGGTTCTGTTTGCTGGGGAAAAGATGTCTCAAGTCTACGAGTGTGTAGGTCTTCTGCACTCGAGTCTTCTACTGAGTGTGCCGCACACCGGCACGCTAGAGCAGCATCAAGCACGGCCGATATTTCACGTACAAATTTGATGCAGGGAGGACTGTTGTACAATGGCAAGATGGTTGCTTCTGTAACGCTGGCTACGTGCCATGCCTCTCCGGTCTAAGAGATGCGGGGGAAAGAGAAATAGACAAAAAATCAAGGTTGCGGGTGATGCAGGTCGGCGCATACCGTCTGATCGCCTAAAAGGGTGCAGAGCCCACTGTGAAGGGAGGGGCACGTAGCCCTTTCGATGCTCGTTCTCGGGAGCTGTTTACTTTGCCAATTGACAGCCAAATGATGCGGAGGCAAGTTGCAGCGATTTGGAAACGAGTTGTGCGCATGGGGCAAGAAGCAACCCAGCGACAGCCCCTGTAGGGGGTGCGTGACAGGATTTTTACACCCGCGTGTTCCATGCGTTACAGTTTGCGTCCACCCCTAACACAAACTTTTTGCTTATACGTCGTGATCCGATGAGGGAGATCACCAAGGACATGGGCATCGAACACGGTGTAGATCTAGCTCCCAATCAATGTAAGATTTATGCCGAGGGGAGTCGTAGTATGCGTTGAGAAACTGCGGTCTGACCACGTCTTGGTGTTGCTGGCGGAAGGGGCCGGCCGCTGGGAGGCGAAATATGCTGTCGCACGCGGCGTGCGGATCGGATGGCTTTGAAACTTGGCAAATCGTTGTGCCTACGGAGTCATCTGTGACTCTCGAAATTTGGTGGACGTCGGCGCACAGACTGGGGAGTTGTTTATGCGGGAAATGAATGATTTGGTCTGCCGCGGGCGGCGGAATAGCAGTAGGATTTGGCCAAACGCTGTGTGTAGGCGAACTGGCTCTAGTCGCCACCAGCGTTGCCGAGACTTGCGGGGCATCCCTATTCTGTCCTAGCGCATCGAGCCGCCGCGAGCATGGCGCCGTAACTTGCTCGGTTGTGGAGAACGTCGCAGCAAAAAAAAAACGTGGAATTTTGGTCTCCAGGCGACCGGCGCCTGTCAGGTGGTTCTTGGTACTACACTTCGCTTACCCTATGGATTCAACGCTATGTATTCAATGCTAATCTATCTCAAGAACATTTTCTTAGAAAGAGATGGAGTCGTTACGTCGTATAAACAACAACAAAAAAACGTCACGAGGATGCTGGTGTGGGCAGAAGCAAGACAAAACCTTTGCGTTTGAAACCGGTGTCGCCTCGATTGAAATTCCAACAAAGAGGTCTTGAAGTATAGAAGGGCGAAGGCATCGCCGCGATCTCGTGCTCGTAGCTTTCGCCAGCTGAGAGAAATCGTCCGCGGTCAACAATCCCCGGTCGAGATAATTTTCTAGTTATTTTTTGTTTCCCTCAGTTTCCGCACAGTTTCCGAAGCAGAAACTACGGCTGCTGACGACGACGAATCAAATCTATCGCATTAATCATACTTACGATTTTAGCAGCAGAAGCAAGCACGATGCTTCCACAAGGGGCTTCAGAGCTAGCCGAAGATCATACCGCAAGGAAGCGAAACAAGACGACGAGAAGTAAGACCCTAGGGGGGGTAAAACGCCCCCCAAGATTAATAACCCGTCGAGCGTCTGAAAACGAGAGCTTCCAGATCCAGCCAGACGACCCATTGCGGCAGAGGGGTATGCACGAGAGTACTAGAAACCGTCGAATGAGACCGTCAAGAGACGACCGCTCCCCCTCTCGGGGTCGAGGTTCGCGAGGCGGGGGGGCAAGAAGTTGTGGGCTAAGACTCCTTAAACCGTTCCTCGTTGGATGGCGGGGAGGACGAACAACACTGTGCTTGCTCTCGAACGTGCCAATCGTCTTTCCGTGATTGAAGAAATGTCTACCTGCAAAGTCGGCACCCCCATCATGATCGGGATGGCCATTCCCGCCACCGCCACGTCTCCCTCGTTGATCTGAGACAGGCGAGAACATGTTGATGCAGACAGACACGGGGGCGTCAATGAACAAGTGATGAGTAGGACAACAAGAATGAGAAAAAGAACAAAAGGCGACAACGAGGAGGAGAAGGGGGAGGACGGGTGAAGCGCGACGAATCAGGGACGAGTCAGGGACGGGGGTGAAACCTCTAGATATGGTTGAGGTTGCTTGCTGAAATACTTGCGTATGTCTCAACGGCGACAAACCGTTGTCCGTCACCATCGTTGAGTTGGCGGGGCGTGGGTCGCTTGGGCAAGAAAAAAAGGGGCTACACATAGATTTGCCACAACAACGACGACGACGACAACAACAACAACAACAACAACAACAACAAGAGCAGCAGCAGCAACAAGTCTCTCCTCCTCTCACACGAACCTACTCATAGAACTCCGGGCGGAGCGCGAAGTGTCCGATGCCGTAGGCGAAGGCGGTGAAGGCCGTGCCCATGAAGGTGATCGCGGTTCCGCTGATGATGCTGATCAGCTTCGACGTCTGCCCCGGCTTGGCTTCCTTGGAGATCAGCATGAAGACAGGGTCCACCGGCTTGTCGCCCATCTGAACAGCCTTGTGGTCGTTCCATTCGAGACAAAGCGAGGAAAACGCGGTACAACCAATAGAAACAATAAGGGTTAGAAACACGGAGGTGAAAAGAGAAAGAACCCCGTGGGTGGCAGGAAGGATTATCGACCCCGGAACACTCTGCCATTAACCATTTTCTTAACCCGAACCTCATTCGATATTTGTGCACAAGCGCCGCTGCAGCCATCCCTTACCCTGCGATGGAGGGGCGGGTGGACCATCGTCGTTGTCGTCCCGTGTCTAGGTCGCACGGACTTTGGCCTCTTTGTTGGATGGTGAATGAGCATCTATTCACAACGTGTACCTTGCGCGCATCTGGAGAGCCTCAAACGCAAACTGAAAATACACAGACAAAAACAACGGGAAAAAAGCCTCCGTTTCGGGAGGAAGGGTAGCATTGCAGGCTGGATCTGCAGCGCATAGTCTACGTACGACCAAGTCTAGATCACGGCACGCCCGACTCCAGGCACGTCATGTCAGAAACAAGGGAGCGAGTTGTCGAAAAATCAAGCCCGTTGGCTTCGTCGACAGCTATGCATACAACATACAACTCCAGAAACCTGGGGGACTTCCGTTTGTGATCCCGGCTGAGCCTCTTAAAAACACACAAAAAGCGAATGAAATATCAAAACTGACGAAACAGCTAAAAAGTTTACACGGGACCAAACGATCAAAACTAACAACGACCAAACGTAAATAGAAACAGCAGCTGACCTCCAGTGTAGATGGGACGACTACACACACATACAAGCGGCCTCGTCACGACCCGCAACGGCGGACAGGCTAAGAACACATAGGTAGCACCATCTATCACACAGCCTACATTTGGCAGACAGTGCCTTCGACCCTTCGACAGCGGTGGTATCTCCTTGTCGCACGGAATCACGAATCTTGTTTGAACAACGGGTGTGAATTCCCCAACGTGTTCACCTGAAGGGAAGCCAAGAGAACCTGCGAGTTGGACTTGGCTCCCTTTCCCCAACGTGTTCACCTGAAGGGAAGCCAAGAGAACCTGCGAGCTGGACTTGGTTCCCTAGTGACTTCCTAGGCTCGGACGACGGATGTGTGGAGCTATGACAGTGTATGTGTTGCTGTTTTGTTTTGAGTCATGATGTAGCTGCTGACACGATGACTGTTGGATCTTGGGAGTGTACGATCATCAAATTGGGAGATGCTGATCGATAATTCGGGTGGCTCAGTTGTG